CTATCTTTTTGAACCTATCTGGGGGAAACGCGGTCTATTTTTCAATTCTCTTCCTTTCTGACCCCACCCATTCCAATATCACCAAAAGTTCTTAACAACCCAGGAGAAGTCATCTGCAACTTTGTTAGCATATCCTTGGATGGAATCCACTTCAAAGTTGAATCCTCAAATATCCCCATCTAACCCTGCAACTTTGATCTTTGTCCCCAGGCAGGGCAGAAGCCTGAGGGACCGGGTCCTCTGACTCCTGGGGAGTCTTCAGAAATGCAAATTGTCCACTGTTCTGCTACTGCCCACCCGTCACCTCTTCGGCCCCCCAGCACAGTGCTTTGGATGAGCGGCTCTTACTGGAAGAGGGTTTGTAAGTTGGAGTCAGAAAGAGGGAAGATTTTAGGGAGCTCAGAAGAAAAGCAGAGGACAAAAGGCCAGCTGGTTCTTAGTGAGCATCCTGAAGGGAGTCTGAGAGCTAGACAAGAGACCAATGCTCTTAGGATCGCTGAGGTTTTATAAGTTTGGTTAGCTTTTACATATGTGTTCTTGCCGTTTTCTTCCTGTTTCACAGTAAAACCTACAGCAAAAGGGGCTGTTTATCTTATGAGGTCAGCAAGGAAGGGGAAGATTAGGGGGAGAATATATCCTTTTTTGCAGTTGGTCTTGGGGGACAGAGAATCTGAGGGTAGTGGTAACACTACAAAGATACCTGGAAAATGGGCTCCAAGAGAGGTGTCTTGAGCCACAGGAAAGCTCCGGAGCTCAATTATAGCCCTAGTGGCTCCCATTTATTGAGCACATACTATGTGCCAGGCACTGTGCCAAGTGCACTACATGCATTATTTCGTTTCATCCTTTCAACAGTTCTGCGAAGAACAGATCCTGTTGTTACCCTCATTACACCGCTGAGGAAACAGAATGGAGGTAAGGAACTTGCCCAAGATCACACAGCCAGAAAGAAGTGGCAGAATTGGAACCAAAACCCAGACCTATTTGATCCCAGAGGCCAAGTTCATCCCTCCAGGGCAAGATAATATAGAAGCTTCAATGCCTCTGCATGTACCCTCCATGTAATGGGGGTGCTCATCCCTGGTGGAAACAGCTGAGCCCTAGGATAATGAAACTCTCCCAGTCTTATCCTCCTCAATTATCCCAGATGAGTTTGTGTATTTTCAGGTGCTGTTTGTCATCTTTCAAGATTCAGGCATCATGTCCCCTGAGTTCTCAGTCTCCTTTCCTGATCTCTCCTTCCCAAGGTGTAGGCAACCCTGGTATGGCACTTCTTGTAATGTCAGGTCTCCACCGCAAGACTGGGTGCTCCCTGAGACTGTGCCCCCATCTCTCATCTTGGGATGCACTGTGCCTCGCACAGTGCCTGACACATGAGCCACCCCCCTCCCCACCCCAATGCTCAGTGAATAAATGTTGCATTAGGGCCAGGCAAGCTGAGCTACCATTACTGCAAATTCCCTTTCCCACTCCCAGTTGGTAGGAGAGAGTGAAATGTTATTTACAAAAACACCAAGCCAAACAAGACCCTCCCTTCCCCGATATGCTGAAGCTGTGCTGAGAACAGCCAGGGGTCACCAAATGGCAGCCAGATGGTAACTGATGGCTGCTCCCTAACTCCAGGGGCCTGGGGCAAAAGGCTTGGCCGCCCACCTGCTCCCAGAGACCTGTGAACATCCACTTTGTAGGCAGAAACCCAGACGGTTCTTCGCTCCTCCTGATCCCATCCTGCATCCAGTCCTGGGAGCTGAGCCGCTGCTGGCTCCCTCCAGTCTGAGGGACTCCCAAAGCCGCCTGGAGCAGCTCTCTGGCCCAGCCTCGACCCAGTATAGACGTTGCCTGCCTCCCCTAACTTCTTCTGTAACAGGGAGGTGTTAGCTCAGCAGCACCAGCCCAGTGTAGGGGGGGTGCTCATCCCTGGTGGAAACAGCTGAGCCCTAAGATAACGAAACTCTCTCAAACGGAGCAGGGGAGCGCTGGGGAGAGAGGAGTTCCCTTGCTTGCGGAAGAACTCTGAGGCCACAAGGAGCTGGAGGAAGAAGGAAGGGATTTTCTGCAGTGTTCCGAAACAAAGAGAACCGATGGGGCTTTGGGGAGAGCTCTGTTTCCCTCCACTTCATTCAGCACCGTTTCCCTCCTCCCACAGATCCAGGAGGCAACAGGCCCCCAACTGGTTATCAGGTCCTCGAGCATGAGGGCCTTTGTCTCCTCCTCAGACATCTAGCTGCCCGGGCAAGGGGCCTACAAATCCTCCCTGACCCTCCCAGGTCTTTGTTATCTCAGAGGGAAGATTACATTTCTGTGCAGGGAGGCAAGGTGCCAGGAGTCCTCCAGCAGGACAGGGGCAGGCAGAGCTGCCGGCTGACCCCTGTTGCCTGGAGCCCCGCTCGGAGCTGCGCTGGGGACGCTCTCCCTTCGGTGGCCTGGGGCCTGTCCCGATGTGGAGGGTCTGCATTTCGGTGGCGGGGGGGG